TCTCCTCACTGAGGTCTGCAGATTGTCAGCTCCAGGTTGTATACCTTGTGGTCCTGGGACAGCTTGTACCCCTGTAGCGCTTGAAGGTAGAGAAAGGGGTGGTGGCGAGTTGGGCCCTCTGAGAGGTTCCAGGACTGTGGAAGTGAGGGGGATAGGGGGAGCAGATGTGCAATCCCTTCTCTCCTCATACCTCCTCATAACTTTGTCTGAGGGACAAGTCTCTTAGACTTGTCTTTCCCACCACCCTTCTTCCTTTATTCTTCCCTCCCTAGCCCCCACCCCCCAAAAAGAAATTCCTGTGAGAGCATAGGCTAAATTCTCTGAAAGATGGTTTCTTCCTACACAGACCTTCCCCACTCAGCTAGATTTGCCCTGGGGGCCAGGATTCTTAGTTAAAGCTCTGCTTAGAAGCTTGTGTGAGCAGGCAGCAGACAGCATGGTAGGCTGGATAGAGTGCAAGATCTGGATTCAAATCTTACACCATATACTTGCTTGCTGTCTAATCTTCAGTAAGTCATGACATCTGTCAGCCTCAGTTTCCTCATGTGTAAAATGAGGATACTAATAGCACTTATCTCACAGGATTATTATGAGGATCAAGTGAGACAACATATGTAAAGCATTTTGCAAACCTAAAAGTACATACAAAATATTAGCTGTTACTAGTGGTAGTAGTAGCAGTAGTAGTAGTAGTAGTAATTATTATACGTGAGTGGGAGGTACCATGATACGTGGAGACAACATTGTACTTGGAGTCAGGAAGACATGGTTTCAAATCCTGTGTTACACATTTACTAGCTTGGACAAGTTAGCCTCTCTGGGCCTCAGTTTCATCTTCTGTAAAATGTAGATAATAATAGCGCTTCCCTCCCAGCATTGTTGTGAGTATCGCAATAATATATGGAAAGTGTTTTGCTCACCTTAAAGCATTATATAATGTGTGCTATAATTATGTTAGGTATTACGTATATCTGCTTTTCCCCACACAATCAAGAAAATAAGTACATGATAAGCTATCATTTTTGGGGAGTAAGGAGAAAATAAAGCCACTTGGTATGAATTCTCTGAACGAACAAAAGACGGACTAGTTCTGTTACTGAGATGGCATGTGGAATTTATCAGATAGTGTATTGAGATAAGATAAAGCACCCTTTTAACAATTTAGTATCTTCATTACAATTGATATTACTCTCTTGCACGTGTAGGCCTATGACTTGTATCGAGGCAGCTAAACTTTCCATACATGTGTTTGTAGATTCATTTATTAAATATTTCAATAAGACAAGATTTCACCAGTAGCATCCATCAAATATATACGTTGATGGATTTGTGTGGACTCCCCTACCTACCACCTCATGATGCTCACTGTAAATGATCCTAAAATAAATAAAGGGGAGGGAAACCCAAACCTTTCCATGGCACCCATTGCTGACACTTGTCTGTATCCACTGTTGGCACCTTGTCAAGTTGTCAGCACATCGGGCTCTGATTATTGAGGTCATGATTCATTGACTCATCACTCGAAGATCCTAATTGTTCATATCTTGGGAGCTGTACAGACCGGCTTCAGTCCCATAAAATAAGAATGAAGTCATGTCCTTTCCAGGGCCCATGTGTACAACCCCAGTCAAGTATCAAGGGAGTGTCCTAAATATCTACCTTCCGAACAATGAAGAAAGGAGGCATCTCTCTGCTTGGAAATAATTATCTTTGTGTTTGTAGCATAATGAAGTGAAGTCATGTTAGTGGGCTTGGGGTGCTTTCAAATTTTAGCTTTCCAAAGAGGATTCGGCCACTTTGGGTCAATGCTCAGCTAGCCCACTCAATGTTTGAGGCCTTTAATGCATACTTATTAACCAGCCTCATGACACATCTGAGTTGGGCGGAAAGCTGGGTATCCAAAGACAATCCTCTATTTATTTCCTGGCTCCTTTCCTGAGTTATTATAGATATAAAGGAAAATGTTTCTGCCCTGGATTTCTTTTGATCAAGTCCCTTAGCCAGATCAGTTTCAGAAGGAGAATGTTGGTGATGTGCTCAACTGAATAAAGCAGGTAGCTTAAATAGAAGGGAGGAAGAGGGTTAACTCCACTCCTTTGAGAGGGAATGGTTATTTTCAGTATTTAAATTTTTTCCACCCCAGAAAGGGGATGGTCCAGTTGGTGCTCATTAGGACATTACCTGACTCAAATATCACACATTGAGCTGAACAGAGTCTCTTTTGGTTTTGCCATTTGGGCTAAGACATTTGATGGTTATTTTGTGATGCTAAAGTCAACAGGATGGCGAATTTCTAAAAGAAGCCTAAGATCTGTTGTGGCAATGACATTGTCCTTGATTCCAAAGGAAGTCATTGTTTCTGCAGTATACATTGATATCTCAATTGATTGGAAGGGAGAGGAGGAGGAGGGAAGAATCATTGTTGGGGGACAGAAAAAAACCATGAAGAGAGAATTCGAATCAATAAGCCTTTATTATGCACCTGCTATATACAAGGCGCTTCTGACCTGGAGCAGATGCTAAGTTTATGCCCGCTCAGAGGCAGGAAGCTGGATTGTCAGTCTTTCAAGGTCCTCTTCCTATGATCCTCTGAAGCCTTTAACTGGGTTACTTCTCCTCCTGGGGCCTCATTTTCCCTATCTGTAAAGTGAAGGTAGATGAGATCTGAGTCCTTGCCAATTCTAAATCCTATGGCCCTATGATATAATAACTGAAATCATGGAATTCCAAAAATAAAAACTTAATGTACCTCCCTTAATCTGGACAATGGCTGCCCTTTTCTCTTCCTTCTTGTCTCAATGCAGCCAATTATCAAAAGTTTTCTCTGGGTGACTGAACTCAGTGAGCCGAGCCATTCTCAAACTGTGCAGCACCTCCCCCTCCCTCCCCACCCCCGGAAAGGAAGCCAGAGCTCTTCAGAATTGTTTAGTTCATCCTTCAGTTAAATAAATACCTTCTCTCAGTGATGCCTGACGGTCTCGCACATGATCCCTTGGGATCGGGGTCATTGTACTCTCATGGCTATCTCTGCGTCAAAGATTCACAAGATTTTCCTCAGTTAACAATTAGCTCCCACTTCCCCCCCTCTAGGGTACACAGAAATGAAATGTATTTGTTACGCTTTAAACCCTGGATTCTCAAAGCGTGTCTGAACGGTTTCTGGTCCTGGGCTATATTGCAGCATCTACCTTAGCATGGGGGGCAGCTAGGTGGAATGGTGGATAGAGCACTGGGCTTGAAGTCAGGAAGACTCATCTTCCTAAGTTCAAAGGTGGTCTCAGAAACTTACTAGCTGTGTGACCCTGGACAAGTCACTTAACCCTGTTTGCCTCTGTTTCCTCATCTGTAAAATGATCTAGAGAATGAACTGGCAAACTACTCCAGTATCTCTACCAAATAAACCACAAATGGGGTCATAAAGAGTTGAACACAACTGAAAAACAGCTTACCATAGATATTGCATTTGTCTAGGCCCCAAATATGAATTCTTCTCAAATGACTACTCAATTTCAATACCACAGTAGTCTGACTTCTTCCTCCCCATCCTCACCCGGAAATAAAAGTTGCAATAGGTTTTTTGGAATGTTCTTCTGTGTCAGATGTATACTTTGGAAGGAGTAACTGCTCAGTGTGAAATAAAAGACATTGATATGGCCCTGGGCAAGTCACTTCACTCTGTTTGCCTTAGTTTCCTCATCTGTAAAATGAACTGGAGAAGGAAACGGCAAACCACTCCTGTATTTTTGCCAAGAAAATCCCAAATGGGGTCACAAAGAGTTGGACACAACTGAAAAACAACTGAACAACAACCAAAATGTCTTTCTAGGTCATATTTGCTGAGAGTTGGGGTGAGGGTGGAGGGAGAAGGACTTATTCAAAGTCATAGCAGGCCCTTTCAAGGTAGTAGGCCTCTCCTTAATAAAATGACTAGACCTAGTGCCATGAGAAATCAAAATTGCATTTGTCTTTACATCCCTTTGATAGATTATTCATATATTTCTTTCAACATATATATGAAAGGCATTTTAAGATCAGATGAGGGGGAAAATGCAAGATTTATAAGCTTAGGACAAGTACATATTATTTACACTCTTTTTGTTTGCTATTACTTTTATCTAGTCTATTTCACCATGAATTACACATGAAAGTAAGATTCAACCGATTTCATGCCATTTTCCTATTTGTGGATTCAAATGTCTTCACCCCTCCCTCCAGTCAAACTCTCTTATTCTTCTTCATGGAGAACTTCAGTCACTTCTTTTTTTTTCTTTTTGGCAAGAGTCTGTCTAAGATAGCACAAGTAAACAGGCTTCATGTCGGAATGATTCCCAAACAAATAAAAGGAAACCAAAGATCAGATCTATTTCAGAAGGTTTTGCTTTTCATTTATCTTGCTTTCCTTAAGCATTAAATGTTCAGATTTTATCGTCAAGGTAATTAAAGGAAGCAGCTACAGAGTTTCATGAAAAGTCTAAAGCTTTTTGTCCTTGTTTGTCCTTTCCCATTGAGGTTGCTAACAGGGCTTCAGCAGTGGAGTGCAAATGAACGGTTTGCAAGGACGCTTGAATCACCTTCCAGAACGGCCACAGAGGTCATCACAGGAAAGGCCTTTGCTCTGTACCAAACACCGTGAGAAGTAAATCCATCTGGGGAAGGAGACAGAATTTGCCATGACGAAAGGGCAGAAGGTGGGTCCAGTTCTAGTTTAAGTGGGGATCGATGGAATACAAATAGTCCAGTTCATGAGGGCAGAAAGGAGTTCTCTCTCCCTTAAAGTCAGCTTTGAAAATCCTGTGTTACTTCTTCAAATCTCCTTTCTCTGGGATGCTTACTGTGAAGTACAAGATACTCATCTGATCCCTTTAGGGTAAAGGACTTCAGGATAAAACAGTGGCTTCTAATAATGTAGCACTGGAGGTGTCAAGCTCCTTTTCACCAGCTTTTGCTGGTGGTGCCCTCCTGAATAAGGACATGTCCTTCTCTGAACTTGCAAAGTTACATTAGAGGCAGTGGTTAATTGTTGGATGCCAATGAGAGTGGTTGCATCTGGCATCTCGATAGGAAGCAGGGATGCCATGATTCACTCGGAAATGGCTGGCTGCATTCATCAGTCTGGACGGCATGGGGAAGTTATAGCCATAAAAGCCATAGGAAGGATGTAAAGTACAACCGAAGGCTTCTCGGGCAATAGGAGTTGATGGGAACACATTTGCAGGTGTATATAACATTGGATTGGCAGGATGGGGCATTTGCAGACACTGCCCACTTAAGTCTTCAGCTTTGCCATTTTTCAAATTGGGGATTCCCAGAGAAGATAACATGGGCACCTCCATCATGAAAGGAGGCAGAGAGTGAGGATTGGTGCTTCCGGGCTTTTCAGGAGTGGGAAACACAAGAGGTGGTGTTCTCAAAAGATTACTTGGGCAAATCTTGTAGCAAAGAGGCAAGCTGAAGTTGTGGAAGTAGGTTTCTGAGCAGGGCATTCCGAGGGTGCTGGATGATACGTGAAATGCCGGTGGTGAGCAAGGTGGAGAAAGGAAAGAGTTCAGAGGAGAGGGAGGTCCACCATTGGAGGTCACTGGGGAGGAGCCACTGCTGCTTCCACCTGAGGGTGACAAAGGCAGTGAAAATACTGATCCCTGGGTATCCCCAATTGACTTGTATGAACACTCTTTCTATTTGTTTTCCCATTCTAAGAGGAAGCTGGCACAGTGGAAGAAGTGCAGGGATTCAGAATCAGACGACCTATGTTCAAAAGCTGACTCTGCCTCTCGCACTTTGTGACCCTGGGTAAGTCACTTGACTCTTCCGGACCTCGGTTACTTTATCAGTAATGAGGGAGTGAGACTGGGTGATCTCTACGTTTCCTTCCAGCTCTTCCACTCTAATCCTGTAACTTCTGTTGATATTCACAGCAGTTCACAGCAGAAATCTGTTATGACTCTGATAGCCCATGTGTGTTGAGAGGGAAAGGAGTTTTTAATTCAGAAGAATAACTAGTTTGATTTCTTTTTTCAATGGACTGACAAATTGTTTTGAAAGGTGCTGGCCCAAAATGACAGGTGGTTTTGGCATCTCGTAAACATCAAATCTACTGGATAAAAGCTGTCTGCCTCAAATGTTTGAAAGGTCACTGTTCCATTCTATCTGATTATCATTTTATTTTCTGAAACCAAACATGTTCAGTTCATATTTGCTTAAAAAATCATGGTACCATATTTCCCATAATAGTCTTTCTGTCCCTAAAAGTGACAACTCAAAAAGTAGAAACATGTTGCCCATAACAACACATCAAGGAGCAATGAGGCTTCTCTGTTCAGTTATGCTACACTGTGATCTCCTCCCAATTATGTGGCTTACTAGATCTAGGAAGCTTCAGGCCAGTCCACACACATGGCTATTAAAAATATTTCAGAACACTCAAACAATAAAACAAGTTTGGATTCAATCGTGACCCATTACTGATTGGAATCAGTCAGGTTTCTCCCATACCCCCAATCCAGCTTGTATGTCTACACACAGCTTGAACCCCTGAGCCATGAGTTGACAATTACCTCCACTCATGGAAACCGAAGCTCTGATATGATAACAGAAAGAAAAAAATCTCTTTTGAAAAAATAGAATGTTTCTCTTTGTCACAATCTCAAGACTAATAGTGAAAAAAAAAGACTAATAGTGAGATTAAATAATGGAGAAAACTGTATTTCAACATACACCCCCTCAATGAAGTAGAGGCTTTAGTGTTTTCTCTTTATTATTACAACTGGTAATATTTTGGAAAGATTGGTTTTTATTTTATTTTTGTTTGTTTTTGTCTCCTTATGTGCTATACTGTTTAAAAGGTATCAGCCAAGCTAAGGCTTTCAAATCGCCTTTACCACCCAAAAGAGTAAAGTCAATGAGAATGATCTGTAGATTAGTGTTGCTCAGGCACCACTAGTCACTGAAATTGGGGCCCCACGTCCAATGGGTTTGATGGCATCATCTGAGAACAAGGGTTCTTAACCTTTTTTGTGTCATGGATCCTTTTGGCTTGCTGGTGCAAAGCTTATGGATTCCTCCAAATAATCATTTTAGTAATAATAGTGATAATAAATCTGTGTTCTTTAAATGCGTATAGTAAAATAATAGGATTACAAAGGAAATCAATTGCATTGAAAAAATACACATAACTCTTTTCCCTTCTGAATTCATTGGAGCCCCTGAAATCTCTCCATGGATCCTGGGAAGACCACCAGAGATTTCCAGAGAAGATCTAATATGACTAGTCGTAGCCCAAGTCAGAAAATAGAAAGCTTGTTTATTACCTGATTACACAACTTTGCAAAGTGTCAGAAGTGTATTTAGTCACTAAATGTGTCACAGCTTCCACCACTATTTTCTGACTATTAAGAGCCTTGCCTTGAGCTTTAGGTGGAGTAAATAACAATTGAGAGTATTTTTTTTCTCTTCCCTCTAGAAAAGCTAAAAAAAATAGTTTTAGCCAGACAGTATTCCCTGGGTGCTCTTTGGGTCAATGACACTGTGCTATATTCTCCCATGTATTGAAACAGATTACACACATTTTCCATTCTGACACTTTACTCAGTACCATGATTATTCGTTATCCTGGTATGGAACATTTTGCAAACCTAATGTCAGCTATAGTTCTAAATTCCTTCTAAACCTTGGGAGATAAGCTGTTCTGCACATACAATGAATATAGGCAGGCAAACATGCTTATTTTTTGTCCTTTCAATAAATCAAGAGCTTTTAATCGCCTACTATGTGCCAAGCACCGTGCTAATCTTTTTCCTAAAAGCATCCAAAATCGGGAACAGAAAAGCCAACATTTCCTGAAGGTCTTGAAGACAGCACTGTGGCCTCCCAACCCCTCCCTTCCCCAAATGCTAAAATCAGAGTTCTCATTTGCAGCTCAAATTCTCCCAAAGCCGCTAAGAAAATGTCTTCCACTGTGTAGCAAGAAGGGGTTCCAATAATGACCTAGGTGTCAGGGGAGGGTTTCCATTGAATGACTGATGCCAAAACTCGCATGGCTAGGTTTTTTTTAAATCAATTTGAAGTCCCTCCCTGCCCCCTACCTCAACAAAATGAAACTACGATCTAGGAGATTTGCCAGTGTTACAAAAAGTGCTAAGCACATTAATCTCCAAATATTCCTAAATGTTTAGGCATACCCAGCTTGTTGTATTCTTTACATATGCGATGCGTTGACAAACGTGAGTTAAGCAGACAGAGAAAAGGACAGGAAATGGTCAAGACCAGAGCGGAGATCTTGAGATTCAGTTTCTTTTTCACCTTTCACACTTTTCTCATTGGCAGAGTTCATTCATTCAACAAAGAATTATTTGGCTCTCAATTTTGGCTGCCTTTGGGGTTTAAAAAAACTCATTTCTTTCTCACCAAACTTCCCCCAAAAAACAAACAAACAAGCCCAGACCTATCAAAAAACCTGGTCCAGGAGGCAAGGTAGCAGAGTGGAGAGAAAAAAGACTTGGAGTTAGCTTCAAATCCAGCCTCTGATCCATGCTAGTTGAATGACCCTGGTTAAATCACTTAATCTCAGTGCCCCATGTAACTGTGTCACTATAAATTATAGGCAAGTTACTAGTCTGCATCAGCAGAGTTTCCACACTGGGAGTTCCCTATACTGATGAAATTATAGGTCTGGATGACCAAAAAAAAATTTTTTTAATAGACCTAACAGTTGTAATTTCCTGAAATGCACCAGGCTTATCCAGGCTTGGGATACAGTGCCAAATTATACACAGAAATGAGTTGTTTTGTTTTTTTCCTCCTGGTTGTCTAATGTGTTACCAACACATAAACATTCACGTACAGGTTAGAAATGTACTTACTTTGTGTTTCAGCACCAAAGGTTTTAAACTCCAGGGTGAGAGGTGGTCTCCATGGGTAGGTCTCTAAAAGTCCATCCAAGACACCCCTGGAAAATTGAAATGAAACATTTGGTACCTTTTATGGAATTCCAGCAAAGGATGAGTTACAGAGATTTCTCCATCCCTACCATACCCCAACTTTTATTGCAATTCTAGATTTGGGAGAGAATCTCCCAAATCTGTTGTGTTTTTTCCCCCTCTCAGTTGAATACCTTTTCCAGCTCTTTGCTGGAAATAAATTTAATTAAATCGGTTACTCTGCAGCACAAATTCATAGCACTCCATCCCTGTGACAGATGTCTTTGCTTACCTGTTTCTTCCTGGATCTCGAAATCCTTTGGCAAAAGGATTTCGGTCTATTTTCAGCTTGGTAATCTGGGGAGATAGAAAAGGAGGAGGGGGAGATAAATAGATGTTCTCAAGAAGAGGTGTAGAAAAAGCCCCCATTGCCGGTGCCTGCCTGCCCCAGTTCGCGGCACTTGTTTTCAGGCTTCCCTAAATCTGGCTGCGTGGGAGCCTCCAAACCTCAGTACTGTGTCCTCAGACCAAACAGGACCCCCAAACCCAGCTGGGCCTGCTCACTGCTCGCTCCTCCCTGCTCCTGATCTCAGGTGCTCGATTGGGGCTGCATTACCTGTTGGTTTTGGTACGCTGTCACTGTGGTGAACTCGGTTTCTGGGAAGGAGAAAGTCTGGACCCCTTCGGCAGGCAAAGACTGGATTTGGGCGAGGTCAAAGCGACTGTCTTGCACAATGACGTGAACTCGAGGTTTGTACTTGTGCATGGACTGCAGGATAATCTAAAGGGAAAGGGGTCCATGGGGGTCAGCAGCTGCCTGGAACTGAGAGGCCTCGGCCTAAACAACCCGAGGGATTTAAAACTAACCCGCCACAGCCCCAAGGAGATCAAAAGAATTAGCGAGTCCTCGGCTGCCTGCCTTTGAACTCCACAGCTCCGGCAGGGTTCTTACAGAAGCCGGGCCTGGAGCTCCCTTGGCCGTCTCCCTTCACCTTCTCCCTTGGCCAGCCCTGGCCAACCCCGACCAGCCCTGAGCCGTCCCAGGAAGGAGCGTTGCCCTTCGCCTCCCGCCCACATGTAGTTTCCATGCTTGGAGGAAAAAAGTGGCGCCAGTAGCCTGAGCTTCTTGGCCAGCTCTCTTGCTCGGCCCAGGCCTCTTTTCCTAGTCAGTTGGAGGCAGAAAACAAGGGGAGAGTCCAGTAAGGCCCGGCTGCTTGGAGGAAAAGAGGCCGGCTGTAGCGGTGAGCCAGTAGGGCAGTGCGGGATACTAAAGAGATTACCATGGTCTTGGCCAGGCAACTTTCAGGGTGGCCCGGGCACCAGGATCTCCTCTCTGGCTTTGACCACCCCTGCCCCCCCCTCCATTCCTACTTCTGTAGGCATGCTGGAGAGTGGGGGAGAATGGGGTTCGAGTACTCCCTTTCTAGATTATCCAATTGAAGGGACTAGGCAGTTAGGTATCTGATGCCAGGAGAAGCAGGCTCCCTCCCTGTAGTCCTCAAGGTTTACAGCCTGGCCCTCCATCTCTCAATCCTCAGACCCTTTTCACACCCACGCCCCAGACTCCACCATCCCAGGGCCCGAGCTCCTGGCACCGAGAGGGGACGGGAAGAGGTAAAGCCACCCGGGCAGGCACTCTCTGCTTTTCCTTTCTAGCACTAGGGCAGCCTGGGGTCTAGCGTAATAGGAGAAGGGGCTTATCCCTTGCCCACCTGTTTCTCTCGTAGTTTTCCCCTCTCCCTCTCCCTCTCCCTC